TGAATATATTGTATTCCTTACTTAAAGTTATAACATTAAATACATCATGTTTACAATAATAATATTAGTGAATTGGCGATGACTTGATTATTTGAACGCATTGGAAATATATTATTTTTACAAATATTAAAGTCGTAAATAAATATAATATAAACTAATCTAAATCGATTCTTTGATGAAAAAAAAATATTATGTCATATTATAGCAGGGATGGACTGGCGCAGGGTGCTATAAACCAAATTTCGCCCCTGGCACCCATTTGTATTTATGATCCGGACAATTCTTAAATTTAACTCTTATTATTGTAATGTAGTAGAACTCTTTCTAAAGTTTAGTAAAAATTTAAGTTACCCTAATTCATCTTGCACCCAGGACCAAAAATAACCAGTCCATCCCTGGATTTAATGCTAGAGGTATTAGTATATCACAAAATATATCCTAATATACTAATCCGAGTGTGGGTGAGAGCAATTTTAACATGGATAAGGATGTTTTTGGGCTGAATACAACTTTTTTATTTCTAGCCGATTTTCAAAACATTTGTTTGTATTATTACTTTATCTAGTAACATACTACTTAAAATAATATTATATATGAATGAAAATTGTTTTTTAGAAGTTATTACTTGATTTGGACATGAAAATATTATATCGAACTGGACTCAGCCTCCCCCTCCCCCCTCACCCGTGTCACCAATTATTTGAACCACTTTTAGCGTCATCACGCCAAGTATAAAATAAATAGCAGTCTGGCACGACGATTATATGCACTTATTATTTAATTTTGCAAATAACTCGGAGGTTTTAGATTCTTGTCAGATCCTATAAGTATACCTACCTAAGTCCTACATCGATTTTCCAACAATGCGAGCTGTTTTTTCTTTCTCTCCTTTCGTTAAAAATCGAGTTTCGGGAAGGTAAAAACGGTCAAAACATTTCGGACATCACACCACGACAGTATCTACCTATTTAGCTATATACATTATACATGTGTATATATATGGAACACTGTACGTCGTAATGTTGTATTGTATACTATTGTACTGCTGCAGTTGTAGATGTATATAAAAAAGCCGTATTCTCGAATCTCCCAGCTCAGGGACTAATCTCATACAGGGTGTTCCATTTATGAGTCTACATGCATTATTTTCAAGTTTTAACTTTTTTTTAAATATTTTTTTACCTACATAGTTTTATGTCACTTCTAAAAAATATATTATTATTTTTACTATTTTTTTATGCAAAACACTATGTTTGGAGTACTTCAATCAATAACAAATATCAAATTTCGGACAATTATTACGTAGTTCACATTAGTTATAACTACTTAAAAGCATTTAATGTACTTGTTGAACGGAGTAGTGTGGTAAAACAGTGAACAGGGGTATCCAGCAAAATGTTGTCCACTACAACTCCACTTATATTTAAAGTAATTAGATACCTATAACTAATGAACTAGGTAATTGTGTGAAATTTAATTTTGATAGACAGAAACATTTCGAATAATATTCTAATTCGTAACATGAAATATGAATAGTGGATGGTGTCATTCAAAAAAGTAAAAACCTTAAAAAACGTTATAACGATAAAAAAAAATAGTAAGAAATATGTATTATTTGTAGAAACGTTGTCTTGAAATCACATACTCGAATTATTATATAAAAATAATATTTAAAACTTTTCGGAAACAATGAAGGGTGTAGACATTTAAATGGATCACCTGGTATACATAAGGTATAGGTAGCCGCAATGCGTACAGTTTTCTAGAAAGTCGCCACCAAAAAAAAAAACAGTGACTGACGAATAATTGCAGTTATTACAGTATATAAGCAAACGGCTTTTTTACGGGAGCCGGATAAACCTGACCCCATTCTCAGAACCGTTTTCCAAATGCGATCTCAAACTTAAAGCTCGCGAGATGAAGGTTATATATATTACACTCGCTTAGCTACTATGATGAAAGTCGTTCAATTTCGTTTAATCGAGTATTTTTTGCGCGCAAGGCCTTATTTTTGTAAAGAATCGCGCGTGTCGAAAACAAAAATAAAAATACCAATAAAGCATCATATTATACGACGCACGTGGTTATACTCGTACTTATAACAATAATGTTGTTCACGAGCATAAATCGTATAATAGTCGTGCCGCATGCAAAGTTCCCGGTTTCCATATAAGTGAGCGTCGCCTAATTTACGAGCCCAACATGAAATATCGCCGAATATTAGTGTTACATAATAATATATTATAATTTATAACATTGTCTAAACGAATTTTCGGTAGGTTTAAGTACCGGTCTATTCAGACAGACATGACATCACTATGAAACGGGATAACAACACGCGCATCCATATTATACAGTCTAACAGGAAGACCCGACAAAAAAAAAAATGGAAATCATAGTTAAACGTAGGTATGATAAAAAATAAGAAAACTTTATGGATGATCAATTATAATTTAAGAAATCTTATACATATACTAGCTAATTCCATCAAATTCCCAAAAAGAAAAATTTGGAAAAAAGTTATATCTTATTAAAATGATTTACTCCAAAACAATATTAATATATTAAAAAGTTGTAAAAATAAACTACCTACTTCATTTAAATATGAGTGAACGTTTTTGCCAATAACATTTGTCTAACATTTAAATTTACAACTTTGCTATATTTTGAATTATTCCAAAAAAAATGTAATACAATTTAAAATCGTTTATTATCAGCATAAATGTTGGGTACTAGATCATTTTCCTCTGCAAGGAAAATTGAGAAATCGTAGATGTGTTTTTATTAATAAACTGTTGATTTGTGTATCAAAGACAATAAGCAAAGAGTTATCAAAATTGTTAGAAAACAAAAAAGTTTTATCCAGCCAAAAAATATGTCTATGTTAAATTTTTTTTTAAAAAAAACGTTTTATTGAACTCGAATTGCAAGTGTCTACTCGTATAAATATTTTTTTGAAAAAAATATTTCAATATTGATTAAAACAACAGTTATTTAATTTGTCAGTTCTTTGTGTTACATCCTGTAGGTATATACAATATGGTGTGTACAGGATACGGTTATAAGACATAAAATATAAAAATATAATAAAAATGGATTTAATTGATAATTGTTTATGCATATTAAAACTGAAATTCCAATGTTCTACTGGCCGTTCATCGTTTAATGTAGCTAATAGATATACTATAAACATAATATTATTATTTTATGGTTATAAATTTGTATTTTTTTTCGACGCTCACCACTTAAATTTTAATAATAATTTTACGTTTATTATACATAATAAATTATTAGATTTTCGATTATAAGGGTTGAGTAATTACTATACCGTTACGTCTATTATTTTTGCGTAAATCGGTAAATCATTATGTCTAAGGAAGTTGACAATCTATCTTCATTATTATTATCATTATTAAATACGTTTTATGTAAATTAATAATACATTTCAGAAATCAATAATTTCTATAGGTTCTGTTGAGTATAAAAATCATTTAAGTTGACAAGAATTGGTCGTCACTCGTCAGTTATGAAAAAAGGTTTGATAAAAGTTATTATTATCAATAATTATTAGGTCTAACTATTTTTATTATTATTTATGTGAATATACATTTTTTGAAATCAATCATTATATTTTCATTTGGAGATCTATATGAATAATATCTGTCTAAACTATTTAGAATGTATGTATAATAAGTGTATTTAAATAAATAAACATAATACGATACAACTTACAATTTAAATCAAATAGTTAGTATAATATGTAGATATAGTATAAGTAGTTATTGTACATTTTTTTAGTATTTATTTTTCTGGTGCCATAGTATTATGTTCTCTCTAATAGAAAAAATAATAAGTGGACTAAGAAAAAAACGGTTGTTTAATACGTACAGATCGCTTTTCAGAATTAAAACGGTTATTATTCATTCACCGCCGATGGGCTCGGAAACAAATTGTCATTCATATTATTATAATAATTGTAATATTAGACTTGGCCTGTATTTTTATACTGCTTGTGCACGATAAAATAAAGAAGAATTCAAGATAAAATTCGTCATTTTTCAATAAGTATGGTGGCTTACTACGATACGATATTCATATCCGATATTCGTAATTTATCCTTAGATTATGAACCGTTTATACGACTGCACTAAATATCAAATACATTTTTGTGCACTCAAAACTCATTTTTTTGTACTTTCAAATATATATATTTCAAACACACAAATTATGAGTAAAAATGTAATTTAATATTTTATAATACATAGTATGGTTTTTAGATTTTCAAATTTATAATATCTGAAAGGAATAAAATAGTACCTAAGGCACAAAAGTTGTGATCCCCTATAATGTGTGTAAGTACTCTGCTCATCTAAACTTTAAAATTCAACACTTATTCAATATTCGTTATTATATAAACCAAACAACGTATTCAGAATATTTTTTGCTTCCGACCACCAAATTAAAAAATATAATAAACCACTAGGTATTTCATAAAAAAAACAGTAAAAATCAAAGATGATAAGTTATAATATTGAAACTTTGCAAAAAATTAATTTTTTTCAGAGAAAAAGCAGATTCCGTATGGTATGGTGTGCAGGGCTGGATTTTATGTTTAAAAGGCTCAGGACAAAGTAGATTTTGGGACTAAAGTTACAAATTTATTCTATTGGCAGATTATAGTAAAATAACAAACGGTCAGAAACCGTACGCTACATGATCGCAACAATTTCGTAATTTTTAAAATAAACATTTTTATACCAAAATACCAATATGTATTTTTCCGTAAAGAAAGATCTAGCACCCAAATTACAACTTCTCGTAATTTTAGGGCCCGGGGCCCCTGAAAAATCGAGTGGCCCGAGTCAAATGCCATATTTGAATGCATCCTCCTCCGTAAAGTTCGATCCGACGATCGTATAAAGCAAAAACCAAAATCGAGTGATAAACGTAATGAATAATAATAATTTTTAATAATGTTTGCAAGATGCACGGGCACTAACCTCCGCAAGCGGGTTTGAAATCGGTGCAACAGTCGCCGAGCTTGAGGCACGCGTGGTCGCAGTAACATGGCTTGTCCGTTGGGTCTTCGATGATGGCGTTGATGGGCGTCTTCTGGACGACGCACGCCGAGTCGCGACCGGGACAGCACAGCTTGGCTTCCAAGCAGCTGCCCGCGTCCGCGACGCCGATCAGCGTCAAGAGCACGGCCGCCGCGGCACCGACGACGGCTTCTGCTACAGCGGTACGACGCCGCATGATGTCCGCTTCGTCTGGGCTAAAATCGCGTGTATGGAGCCTCGCGGGACGCGACACGGAAAACGTTGGTATATTTTACTGTTATATTATTATTAGTATCGTCTCGTTATCGTTTAAATGTAATTATAATAAATTATTAAAATGGTCGATTGGTTGGAGCGAGAAAAAAAAGATCGCTTCTCAGGGTGAGACCCGTGCAGCTTATCTGCCGTGTCTCAATTATTTGTAATATTATGTCAAGGACAATTAACCGGACCTCGAAAGGTATAATAATAATATTAATAATAAATAACAATTTATCAACAATTAATAATAAATTATTATCGTAAGACGAGTCTCGTATGCGCGCGCAGTTGACCACGTGCGATAATGCGGTTTTCGTGGTGCGTCGACGTTATCGGTTCACCGGCGTTTGTCGTGGCCGACAGGTGGACAGGAACTGCCGTCGTCGTCGTTGTCGTCGGGCAGTTGTAGTTATGTTGTGTAGTCGTCCGCTACGCCGCCGCCGCCGCCGGAGGAGAGCGCGCGGAAAAAGGGATGCGAGTCGCGCGGCGCAGTGCTGCCAGTCTTTTCGGACCACCGCAACCGCTTGATAAAAAATATTATTACAGCCTACAGGACTACAACTACTACTACATAAGTTCCATATTAAATTAATGTTATGTACAGTTTGTATTATTTTTTAAATTTTCTATTCAAGATAATATTCAAGTAAAGAAAACCTCCGGAACTGAGGCCATCAGGAGTTACAGTTTCTTTTTTACAGTAAAGTACAATTAAGGATTAAATAATAATAATAATAATATTTAAACGAGTCAGGACTCTGGAAAACTAACTTTGCGAGAATACTAAATTCTCGGTTTCCAAACGTATTTTAATACAAGCAATAAACTATAATTCCAAATACATTGTTTTTTTTTTAATTGGTAACCTATTTTAGTAGTACCTATTTTTTGGATGGTATGAGTCTATATTAAATACTTCTATTTTCTACATTAAGTAATGATCTTAAGGTGAACAATTATGTACTGGTAACTATGTACTGGTAATTAGCAGATGGACGGACGGACTCAGCGGAGACATAACGATAAGGTGTTATACAAACTTATGTGTAGAAAAATACAAAAATCAAATATTTTGTATTGGTTTATCCAACCCTGACTGCTGCATGATGAAAAAGAAAATGTTTGGTATTTGAAGGTCCTAGGCTATCAAATATTTTGCTGTCGGATAATAATTTGTTAAGGTTCGTCGCTTTGTGCGGTATGTGTCATATTGGTTATAATATAATATGTTTGACCGAATGTTTGACACTGAATGTCATATATATTATATGAGAGGTTCCTCACAAGATACATGTTGGGTACATGTAAGTGAGTAATATTCTGATATATTCTTAATCTATTATAATATAATGATAATTTTCTTATTACCTCGTTTAAAGTAGGCTACAACTGCAGTTGAATTCGTGCAATTACTTCTCTCGTTCTATAGTTTCAACGGTGTTGGTCAATATTGGCTTGCGCAAGAGGAGGGGGGTTCCAAGTGTATCTGGGGACCACCCGAAATTCTGTAATAATTAAGTCCTAAATTATGGTAAGGGACCCGTATTTTACCCAATGTTACTAGGTAAAGTGTAATTTATTCTAAAATAAGCGATAACAAAATTAATAATTAAGCGTTCAGTGTGATAAATAGTGTACCTGACATACCTACGTATTATATTTGCTTGAAAAAAACATAACGTGTAAGGTTTCTGAACATAAGTTTAAAACACCTTATATCCCCGCTGTGTTCAGCCATCCGTCCGTTAGTTACCAAAACAAATAGTTACAATTGTTTTTTAGTGACTCGTAGAAGAAGGCAGGAAACTGTTCACTAACGGCACCACAGAAGGCGTATGACATTAATCATTAAACATTTTTGATTATAAATTGTTAATTGTCATTATTATTATTACCTAATATGTGTAAAATATTATAGAAACTTTAGTTAAATTAAACTAATACATAATAATTCAGTAGCTGTGACTTGGTGAAACGCGGTCGAACACACTCAAACAGCAGAAACGCTCCGAGTGTAAGTACCGGCTGGCGTTGCTATATTAGCTCCCGGAAGGGTGACCACCCGGATTTTTAGCAACAAATCCTAACCACACATACAAAACCATGTTCTAACCAATCGTCCCCCCACACAGTATCAGGCTATTGACCCTAGTACTGGCTAGTAGTTAAAGCCTTAATATAAACAAAAAATCAAATCAAATCAAACAATTCTGTATAGGTATCACCTGAAATTTAAGTTTGTGCACGCCCGTGAAAGTCGTTACGAAGTGTAGAACGTGTCTAAGTGTTCAAATTAAAATTTTTTGTTTTGCGTTTTCAATACTTTTCAATAATGCTTTTGCTCTTTAGAATCATCCTGAATTCTAGGTCAAGCTATGAGCAAGCACAGATCAAGTCGTGGGGGGGGGGAGTGGCCAAGCCCTAAGTGATCCTAACACACACTAGGACTCGATTCTACATTTATATACAATATATAATTTATACATAAAAGTTCCTGTTGGCTGGTATCACTGCCGTATACGAATTTTAATTCCAAAATTATTGAGTATTGTATTATGTACTTTATTTTGTGTAGGTAACCAAAAATAATTGTGTAAAACCTCACAAACTTGTCATGTAAAAACGATTTTCCTGTGTCCGTTTCATGGTAACGTTACCCCGGCGGCCAGCACTCCCTATGGCCTATAAATTATTCTAATCCAGTTTTAACTCGTAAATACAGTATTTTTTACTTAATTTTGTACAACTAGAAAAAAATGGTGTGCACTCTCAAAAACACGATAAAAATCCCATTTTAAAATACGCGTGCTCTGTAGTGAACTTTCCGGGGGTAAGACAAATTAACTATGTGTCTCCGGGTACCGAAAATTAATAAAAGCAATAGTAGTACGCATTTATTTTGTTAGCGAAAATAGATTATGATCTATCTTATTATTTATTTATTCCAAAGAGTCGGTCCCGATATACAAAGCAGTAATTATTATAACAATCTACGCTTAATTTAATAACACCCAAGTATAATTATTATAAGAATAAATAATAAAAAGTGATTATTACAACAGTATTTTGATATTTGTAAGACAATTACATTTGTGTGGATTACTGTTTAACATTGATGAACGAATATCACATAAAAAAATAATAAATAATAATATTGAAAAGTAGTGACGATAAGTGTCGTAAGTGACGATATAGCAACTACAATAGTCGATGACTCTCCAGCCTGTCTTATTCATACTATCATACAATTTAAATATAACATAGTTTCAGTTTAAAAACAATAATACAAAATTATGTACTTACATTTATTACCGAACCAGCAATACGCCGTCGACGTATAATAATAATACATCGTTTCAATACTCAATCGAACGATACATACATACAACTTTATAGGTAGGTACTAGTGTCAACAAAAATGAATATTTACAAGTTCTATGGGATGATGGGATTTGTTACAATTTGTGCATTACCTTTTTTTTTAATCCCAAGTCCAACTCGAACATTTTGGTTTAAGTATAAGGAGTGCAGTACTGCAGTTCGACAATACCCTTTTTAAAACCGATTAAAAAATGTGCTTTTAGAGTGGTATTGTAATTTTTTTCAACGAACTTGGAAGTTTGATTTTTTCACCTAACTTTGAGAATACTTTTAATTATATTTGCTATATTATATAGAAATATAGGTATTTTATTTTAATGGCAAAAATTGTTGCGAACAGATATTACCTTCATCGGTTCTTTCTGTATACTTACAAACATAGCTAAGGCATTCTTTTATCAAGAACCGCTCATTATTTCAAAAAGTATTAATGTTTTTGAAAATAATTTTTTTACATGATTTCTAGTGAAAAAGAAAAACATTTTTAAAAAATATTTCAAAAAAATAGTTCGTGATAAAAAAAATTACCTGGTATAATATTATTAATATTTGATTTAAAATCAAAATTTACAAATTTCCACGTCATCCTCGGTTAAAATATTTTGAATAAAATTAGCTCAGTTACTATTTACATGTTATTTTTATGGCCGCCTTCAGTCATGCACACCTCACACTACCTATAATAACATCGTCGGACTGACGTATATTATATATTATAGGTAGGTACGATGCACAATGGCGTCAATGCCCCGACGTGAAAAATGATTACACAATATCATAACCCTACATCGCGAGCACATAACGTACGACGACGTTGACGTATTTTTTTTTTTCCATCAAATTTCCTCCAGTCGAACTTTATTCTCCACGAAGGGGTCAATGGTAGAAGTAAACATAATATTATATTATATAATATACATATAGGTAATACGTATACTATATATAATCGCACATATCACAATATAATATTGTATACACTTTTTTTCTTCTATTTGTTCGCATAAAAATATGTTTTTCGCGATTGTCCGGCAGTTCAAATACGACACATAATAAAATATAATAGTATACTATTCGCCAGTGCGTGTACACGTCAAATTATGTGAGTTTTGTCCACACACACACACACACACACACACACACACACACACACACACACACACACACATGCGCAGACGACGATTCGAAGAAAATACGATATTGGTAGGTATATACTATATATACATCGTATATAATATAATACGACATGATGATGGACTTCATATATATTATAATAATATACACACACACACACACACACATGCGCAGACGACGATTCGAAGAAAATACGATATTGGTAGGAATATACTATATATACATCGTATATAATATAATACGACATGATGATGGACTTCATATATATTATAATAATATACATACAATTGAATGTATACAACGAGAGCTATATATTATGTTCTTGGCGTGTATATGTATGCATTATTATAAAATTCATCTGTATACAACTGCAGCTGCAAGTTGCAGTAGCCAGTAGCTATACTCAATAATGTACGTTTCTCTCGTGTGTGGCGTGCACAATTGTAAAAGCTCATGTTTAGAGTGGTGCCATTTCGTATAGGTATTATTATTATTATATTATGTTTTTATTGTTATTGACTTGCAGAGGTGGTTTGAAAATGAAATGTTTTTTAAGAACGTGATTCACTTTACACTTTATAAGGGGGGGGGGCACAAGTGAATTTTTATTTAAGTTCAAACAATTTATTCCTCCTCCTCTTTTTACAGAAATCTGCTTATATATATGTATATTTTAATGATATATTATGATCTGTAAGGATAAGATAAGGTTCGAAAAAATTAATTTAAATTATATACTACCTGAGCTGTACGCGATATTAAATAAATTACACTCTTTCTGCAATAAATATGTATGTATAAACAGCCATACAAGGTGATCGGCGGTTCACTATTATATTAATTGCAATAACTTTTGACACAAGTCCATTTTGTTGCATT